GAATCCTGTGACAGACCATGCGGAACCAGAAGAAGTGCATGCGGTGGACTGACGAGAAGATTCGGAACTCGTGGACGATTTATATCTAATGTCACACAAATTACAAGATCTACGGGCAAAAACCAACAAGCTGGCAGAAGACCCACTTGGAATCCCGGGAAATAATAACAGTTATTATTATATTGTTAAGGTTATAATGATTTTAAAGCACTTACTGTATTTTGGTATGGTTGTTTTCCCCTAGAAAGCTGGTTTAATTGTGAATCTTACACTCTCCTTCTAGACGACATATTCAGAGCTAACTCCAACATGAAGTCACCTTATCTACGACGAGTTCTACCAACACTAACACAGTCCACATTCAATAAGAAGACTCTGTAGTATACCTATCCTCCAAATGATAATGTGTCTGAAACATCATTCAGTAATTACCGCTGTATTGTTATGCAATGCAACATAAAGTTAACTAATATTGAGTCAAATTTCTTCACGGAAATTTAATGATTCCCCCCAGTACTAGTCTATAGAAAGTCACAGAGAAAGAAATTCAAAAGCATGACAGGAATAATACTACGTGTTTAAACGTGCTTAACTGTCATCTAATATTTCTCGATTAGAATATTTTGGAATAATGGGATAAATTCGAGAACAAACACAACCATTATACCAAAATAGTTCGGCGTTGACTCTGGGTTTTCTGGTCGAAAATTCGATGTGGTCATTGATCTAAGTAACACGATGGTCTATTGCCCTATAATGTAGTTTAGTTAAGTGCTGGAAGAAGTCATTCGAGATGGATTTCTATTTCGCCCTGTTTTCGTCTTCATTCATGTGCATTAGTAAATCGAATCTGCAAACCAAAGAGGAATCGTAATCTTTCCAAGATCTCATGTTGTATTACTTCGCAGTAACATTTCCACTAAGCTATCTGAATCATGCATGACTCCTATAGATTAAAATTGTCTGAGTAATGCATCAACGAATATACACCTACGTGTATATAAAAGGTTAAAAACTCATTTCAGCCCTTCAATTCGTAGAAGTAATATAAAAGCTATGATGCTTCAGATATCTTTCTCCAAAAGGAAGTCCAAGGATAAGCAGTGTCGTATAAACGTTTTAATAATGGGTGTCCATGACAACGGAATTCAATAGGAGCCCAGCTTCCTACTAGTAGGCTTCTAAAGTTTATTGTTGCATAATTTTCCCCTCTAATTATTAAAAATAACATTTAATGAAAAATGGAAAAACCTCGAATTCTCTAGGGAAAATTATCAAATATCCAAGTATTATTTTCGATAACTACTTGAGTTCATTGTAGTATATGCTACTGACTATTAATGTGACTGGTTGGATGCCTCTTGCATCAACCATTAGTGCCTAATACCCAGATCTAATTGATCTAAACTCCGGATGATCACTTCTCTCTTTTGGAGTCGAGGTCACCAGCTGTGTAGTTAGTTTAACTTGACTCAGAGATCATTGAACACTAATTTTAATGTGAATTCTATTGTAAATCAATATGGTTTAAACTAACAAAGACCAGGAATTCCTTTTGTTCCAGTTTAAGATTCACTAGCTGGCCAAGTTAAACTTTAAGCACCACCAACTACCAATGAAGTGCGACTGCACCAATGACCTTGAAACGCTCACTGAGTGAGTTAGTAAAACCTGGCAAATAAAGTTGTCATCATCAGTAAAATATACTCATCGAAGTGTTACGCTATTAAATGGGATATCTGGCAAGTTTCAGCTTAGGTTATGGAAAGATTAAGTAACGGTTTAAGCCAAGGAAAAGTTAGGGTTAGGTTAATCTAATAAAGGTGACATTAGGGTTGGTTCGAGTTAGATTACAGTTAGTTTGGGCCTATTTTCACTTCAGGGTTAGTTTCAGGAAAGATTAGGGTTATTATTAGGGTTAGAAGACCTAAATAATTACTCTGTTGATATAAGAATAGAACTTGTGCAGTGTGGGGGAGTATAATTCCATTGTGGGTAGAATTGATTTTGATAAAGTCTCTCAGCGTTTGTTATACAGTAATATTTACTGATGACAACGTTTCGAGCACAATCTCTTGCTCAGTAAATATTTCTGTATAACACTATGAGACTTAGTCAAAATAAATTTTACCCAGAATGGAATTATACTCTGTTGATATTCCAACCTAAAACTGAGAGCTACTTTTATCACATGTGAAAGGAAGGAATCCCCTGTAACACCTTTATACAGTATTTATGCATTTGTTTCATAAATATATGTATTTCATACACAAAAATGCCTCCTCCACGTGATTGGTGCGTTCGAGGTCCTTTGCTGATTGGTAGTTGGTGGTGCTTCGGTGCGTCGGTGGCATAGCAGTTAGGACTCTCGCTGACCATGTATAAGGTTCGTGGTTCGATTCCCGGCCGCCAGCCCACTCATTTACCTCACTAAGCCAGAAGTAAAGCTGGTGAAGAGGAAAGGTCGGGCATGAGGCTAGCAACCCCGTCCTGTAAAATAAACACTGCTACAGAAACTTCAAGCCTCTAGCTTGAAGCCCTATGTCCCACTGGGGAACGTGAAGGAATAAAAAAAAAGTTAGTGGTGCTTAAAGTTTAACTCTGCCCACTAGCTGAATGATGACGATGATGAGAGTGATGTATTTTTCTGAAAACCGTAATATTTGTGGATTTTATTTGTCATGGGATCACAGGTTTGCGTTTGAAGAGTGTTACGTGTCAAGACAAATTAGATATTTAGTGTTTTTTGTGGTTTAACAATTCTTTAGCCTTATATATATTTTCCAACATGAGATTCGTGTTTACTGGCATAATCATTTATTATCTCAAAAAGACGCTTTAGAATAATTTTATGATAGAATAAAGTAGTCTTTATTCAAAATTATTATAATTATCATTACTATTCGTGTTCAGAACTGTCAATAGGTTATTTTTAAAATATCTAGCGATCGATTGAACACGGAGGAGAAACTTTAGCGACATAGCTTTCTTTCACCTTTGTTCACGGTATCTGTCATCTAGAATTACTGTAGGTAGTCTGTTTATTTATTATTTCGTTTTATCTCACTAACTTCCCCATTCACTTACTCACTCACTCACTCTTTCTCTCCTACTCTATTAGTTTGAATCAACCAGATCTGGGTAGAAAATCGTTGTAATGAAGTAAGCACACGATCTCA